CAGCCCCAGAAATAGAGCAGCAAGCCTCAGATCTATGAAAGCTGCATAGAGCTAGTAAAACCTCCCTGTTTGCAAATGGACTGAAAGGGTTCAGTACCTGTTGCTGCTGGAAGAGGAGGGGCTAATATCCCCTTCCAGTGCACTCCCTTGGAAAAGGCCTGGTTGTTACTCTGCCACAAAGGGGACTGGTGGGAAGACAAGGATAGCAGGGCCCTGTAACTAATAAACAAGGTTAACAAAAGGGCAAAGAAAAGAGCACTCTCCCTGAACCTGGGAGCCATCAGGACTTTGAAATTCTCCAAGAGAGAAGAAGTCTGATTCAGAGACTAGCTGAAACCTCCTTGGGTTAGGAGAACTGGAGGCTGCATATTGAACTTATAGACAGTTTGCCGGGCAGATATCCAAGCCCAGTTGTGTAGAGGTTAGCTGCCTCTGTGCAGCAAACAACTTTCTTCTGTGCCAGAATGCATTTATGGAGATTGTTCAGACTGTATTTGCGGCTAGAGAGGAGTAGAATAACCGCCGCACACAAGCCCTGACTATGGCTTGCAGAGAACTGAGCAAGATGACTCCCCTGCTACATTCCCAGGTGCTGGTTGCAGCCAAGAGCATGAATCACCCTGTATGGCATTAGAGCAATGCCCTACGTGATGGACGTGGCTGATGCCTTCTTCTCATAGACATGGTTCCAGAAAGTCCAGAACAGTTTTGTTTTGTGTAGAAAGAGTCAACAGTGAACTTTAGTTGCCCACCCTCAAAGGTATTTGTATAGCCCTACCACGTGTCATGTTTAGTAGCATGAAATTTGGCTCCTGAAGCAGCCATGCTGCCAATATTATGTTTCATTGTATTAATATGTTGTATTAACCTTTGATTCTCTTGCAGGTTTGAATGTAGCTGTCAGCAGTTGCTGTAGACCTGTGTTGGTCTACAGTCCTTGGTAGTGTTTGGAAGTAACTGGCAAGTGTTCAGTTTCCCATACTAAAGGCCATTGTTATGGCCATATGTTAACTGTCCTGGAAAGGGACTATGTGGGGTGAACCCAAAAGTAAAGAATGTCTAGCTGCCAAGAGGGCAGGTGCCCAACTGGGCAAAGAGGAATACCCATCAGGTTTTGGTCTCTATTAAGAGACAGTTAACAGTTGGCAGCCTGAATACTGTCTAGATGGAGATGGGATTTTTGGCAAAGCTCAGATAAGAAACTATGGACGTGAAACAAGGAACTGTCAAAAGTCAAGGGAGGACCCAAAACATACCATGATGTCACTATAGAGCAGCCGTGGGCAAACTACGGCCCTCGGGCCGGATCCGGCCCATTTGAAATGAATAAAACTAAAAAAAAAAGACCGTACCCTTTTATGTAATGATGTTTACTTTGAATTTATATTAGTTCACACAAACACTCCATCCATGCTTTTGTTCCGGCCCTCTGGTCCAGTTTAGGAACCCATTGTGTCCCTCGAGTCAAAAAGTTTGCCCACCCCTGCTATAGAGGCATGGTTATAGGATCAAATGGTATAAATACAGCTGTAACAGGACAATAAAAGAGAACCCAACTATGCTGATTATCTACACGCTGTCTCTGTGTCCATCACTCTTCGCCAACGCTGTCCTCACCTTTGGGAACCCCTGGACCACAGGGGCTGTATCCCAGCATCCACCACTTGTAGATTAGTTGTGACATTACAGCATAACAGTTATTTAGCTTATTCCTCTTGTTATGGGTTCACTCAGCGAGATAGACCATCGACTCAGAATTTAAATTTAAGAGCCTTTATTAAGCTGGCCAGCTGACTACAGTTCTAGCACCCTGCCAAAGCAAAGGCTGAACTGCAGCCAACTTCCATGGCCTTACATTTTATTATTAAATTCTGTGCAGTCCCAGAGAAAAATGTGCCTTTCAAATTCTGGGCCCTTATACTTTTCCCAGTCTTTTGTCTCCCAAATTTGGAATGAGACTTCCGGGCCTTCTGAGAAAGAAGGCCTGAGTGCTGGGAAGGGGCCATGAGACCATATCTCAAGGCCTGGCCTGATGTCAGTACCTTCCTATCTGTGTGTTTTAGGAACAGACAGCACAGCATGACCCGTCTGGCCAAAGTGCCAGATATGCAGCCCAGCACACTCTCTTATTATATAGGATAGATAGTGCCTTTCCCAACTTTCTTCTTCCTTTGTTTTTGAGTAAAATTTTATTATAACCTCATTGATAGGCTGACATAGTCTCATCTGGGCTTCACTGGCAGGAGTATTCAACAAGGACTTTTTTGGCAAATCACAGTTAAGAACAAAATAAATGTGATTTTAACTTATAGCTCAAAATGCATCTCAAGATATTGAGGCGCTTGGTACTTCATTGGTCATTACAACTATTTCAAACACTAATTAATCAATCAAAAATGTAGAGATATCACTATCACAATTGTGTTTTTTTAAAATATATTTTTATTGATTTCAGAAAGGAAGGGAGAGGGAGAGGGAGATGGAAACATCAATGAGGAATAGAGAATCACTGATTAGCTGCCTTCTGCAAACCCCCTACTGGGGATCAAGCCCTGGCATGTGCCCTTGACTGAAATCAAACCCAGTACCCTCCAATCCACAGGCCTACACTCTACCCACTGAGCCAAACCAGCTAGGGCACTATTATAGTTCTTTAGCAATATGGAAGATAATATGTCTTAGGTTCCTCAGAAGCTGGTCTAAGACATAGATTCACAAGGGATTTATTAGAAAAGTTATTCCAGTAAACATTAAAAAGGGGAAGCAAGAAGGAAAAGTAATTTAAAATGAGGGAATAAATTAGTAGATTTAAGTCAATTTTTGTAATTTAGGGCAAGTCATCAACAGTTGT